ACCCAGACTACCCCCTGACTCTTTATCTTCAAAATAAGTCATTAACTCGAGTGCTCTCTCTGTGTGGCCACCATTCAAATGACCGAACACATGCTTTATGGGATGGCAGACATTTTGTTGGCTGAATACAGTCAAATACCTGGAAATGATTTTGGCTACTCCAATTTGCGAACACCAGAAAACTTGTACCACCACCTGGTCCTCTCACAGACAAGCCAGAAGAGCGCTCTTCGTGGAAGAGATTAATTAGTCGGAGGGGTACATTCACTCCCTAAGAGCCAGGGAGAACCTTCAGTCTGATTCACACAGGAACTCCTGAAAGTTGACCGCCCGCTTCCTCTTTCTACCTGGAACTGCTTTTGGCTACAACCTTGTGGCCGGCTGGTCAGAACTTCATCCAGATGACAATTTCTTTCCACTGCACGGAACTGAGCGCTATTTGGATAACTTGAGTGCTCAGATCCGAGCTATCCGGGGATATATTACTTGTGGGGTTCATGTGAGACTTGAATATGATTTTGAGGTGTTTTTCTATATTTCATGTCTGGTTCCCTGTAACTGAGCAATAATTGAGTTACAACTTTTGACTCAATTATCTCCCAGACACAGGGACGTCTGGGAGGACTTTATATTCTTTTCTATGGAGACCCCATGCTGGAGGTCTGTGTATAATTTCTGTGTATCTGTCAGGGATCCACGGGCGGCTAGGAGGGGAGGCTGCACGCCACTTGCAGCACTCACCCTCAGTCCGTCGCCGCCCGCGGTCTCCCCTCCGCTTACCTGTCGGCGAACGGCGTCTCCTCTCTGCCGCTCGCCGCTCGCGTCCTCCACGCCCCCCAGCAGCAGCATGTATAACGCTGGGTCACTGAATTATGTAAACGCCGGGGTCACGTGAGTGACCCGGCGTTAAAGGAACAGTACCACAATCACAGTGGGTGGTATAGATATCCCCCATGTGTGATTGTTAATTCTGATTGGAAGTTATCCAATCAGAATTAAACCAAGGGTATTTATACGTACCATTCCTGTCCCTCAGTGCCCTGTTGTGGTCTTGTGATACCTGTAGCGTAGTGTTCTCGTCTTGCTCTCTGGTTACTGATTATTTGGCTCGTTATTCCGATTTTCCTGTCTTCTCCACTCCTTTGACCTAGGCTTGTTTCTCGTTCTCCCGTTTTCTGGCTCCCTTTACTTGGCTTGTCTCCTGACTATTCTTACCGTGCTTAGCCCGGCCACTCTAAGGACCGGTATAGCACCCTTCCTCTCTGTGACCTGTTAGCGTGTTAGGTTCCGGAATCGTGACATTACAACAGGGCCACCATGGAACCTGCTGACATTCCACAGCTGTTAGCAAATCAGGAGGCTAGAATGGATGGTTTAGACCACCGTATGGATCAGTTTGCCCAGGATTTACAAACCATACTGGCTCGTACTGCCCACTTGCAACCTGCCGTCCAAGAAGCTGTTGCTGCTGTGCCAGAACCCATTCCTGATCCAGTACCCGCTCCTGCTCACGTGGTTCACATGACGCCACCTCAGCGCTATAGCGGTGATCCAGCATTGTGCCGTGGTTTCCTCAACCAAATTGATATTCATTTGGTGATGAATCCTCGTTCCTACCCCACTGACAGAACCAAAATTGCTTTTTTGATTAACCATTTGTCCGGGAAAGCTCTAGCATGGGCTAATCCCATGTGGGAGAATACGTCCCCAATGTCCTTTTCAGACTTCTTAACAGCTTTTAAACGTACGTTTGACCAACCCAGCCGGGTTGCTTCTGCTGGCAAAGCTCTGCTTAGGGTTCGACAGGGTAATAGATCTGTAGCGGATTATACTATTGAATTCCGCACTCTGGAAGCTGAAGTGGTCTGGAATAATGACGCTCTCGTAACAGCTTTTCAGGAGGGTTTGGCCGCTTACATATTAGATGAAATAGCATCCAGGGAAATGCCTGTTCTTCTGGATGATCTAATAGATTATGTCATTCTAATTGACAACCGTATTAGAGAGAGGCGTACTCAAAGAAGGATGAATACACAGTGGTTACCTGCTTTACCCAGTACTGCATTGCTAGCATTACCTCCCCCTAATCAACCACCTCCCGGACCCATGCAATTAGGTGCTTTAGGCTTATCTGAAGCTGAAAGAATTTACCGCAGAAGGGAGGGTTTGTGCC